TTTTTTCAGCTTTTCATCATATCATCACCCTCAGGAACAAAGCCTTTCAAAGCAAAACCAAATCTAGAGCACTTCATATGTTGTAGTTTTGTAATAATGGTTTTTATGGTTTTAACTGTTTTTATGTGTTGGCGTATGCGGCAGGGCTCTTTTTGTAGAAAAAGCCCAGCAGGAACTCATTAGCATAATAGGCCACACCCAACCACAGAAACTCATTAGCCTATTAGGCCACACCCCTGACAGCACAGCTCATTAGCACATTAGGCCGCACCCCCATGTTACCAGAAGTGTGGTCATCCAGCCACACCCACTTTTTGCCTCTTATTCTGTTTACCTTATTTGTTGTCAAAACCCAGGGCCTTTTTTTGTAGCAGGAACTCCTTTGCATGTTAGGCCACACACCCCTTATGTAGCCAGTCCTAATGAGTTTATGCTGTTGGGTGTGGCCTGTTATGCTAATGAGTTCCCGCTGGGCGTGGCCAACTCTGGAGCCAGCCGGAACGCCGTTCCTGTGTGTTCCTGCCCAAAAATAGCCCTGCGTATGCCTATTTGTGAGCCACCCTGAGCCCGCATTGCGGGGAGGGCAGGCTATAAATTGAAATTCTAAATAAATAAATAAATAAATACACAGCTTAAAACCCCGTTTGCTGAATCTGGGATCACCTGCCCACGGGGATTCCACGGCCACAGAGCATTACGTGGTTTTGTTGGATTTTTTTTAGTTTGCGGTGACCCAGTCCGGCCTCCGGGCTTGCCTAACTGCTGCTCCTCTCCCCACAGACCCCCCCGAAGCCCCAGAGGTCAGATGGAACACCAGGACTCTATCGGTGACCGGGGAACTTGCTTCCGAGGTGAGAGCCTGCCGTGGGTTTGTCTAAAGTGGGATGAAGAGGCAGATAAATCAGAGAAGCATTGGGATTTGGCGTTGCTTTAAAAGGCTTTGCTCCTGATGGGGATGGTATGATGAAAAGCTGAAAAAAATTCTGGCCAAGGTCTGAATCTAGGGGCGAGGGGAAGTTCCCTAGCTGCTGTGAGTCTTCCTGTTTGCGTTGCATTGGCAACGAAGATGGTGAGGGGGTCTGGAGACCAAGTCCTATGAGGAAAGGTTGAAGGAGCTGGGTCTGTTTAGCCTGGAGAGGAGACGACCGAGAGGTGATATGAGAACCGTCTTCAAGGACTTGAAGGGCTGTCAGAGAGAGGATGGTGCGGCAGTGTTCCCTCTAAGCTGAGTTAGTGCGAGCTAGCTCACAGTTTTTTAGCCTCTGGCTCACACATTTTTGTCTCAGCTCAGGAAGGAGGGCTCCAGAGCAAACTAATTTATGCGGCAGCCAAATCTCCTGCTCACAACTTTAATGCCAGTAGCTCACAAAGTAGGATTTTTGCTCACAGGGCTCCATAGCTTAGAGGGAACATTGCGGTGCGGAGTTGTTTTCTGTTGCCCCAGAAGGTCGGACCAGAACCAACGGGTTGAAATTAAATCAGAAGAGTTTTCGGCTAAATATGAGGAAGGACTTCTGATTCAGTAGAAGGCAGCTTCCTGTGCTCATTTCATGCTTTGGTAGAGAAGCCGTGGCTTCGTGGAAGAGACTGGGCTTTGCATGCACTCTCAGAGTGGTTCCTCAGTGGAAGAGGCTTCCTCGGGAGGTGGGGGGCTCTCCTTCTTGGGAGGTCTTAGAGGCTAGACGGCCATTGGACAGCAATGCTGATTCTGTGAACTCAGGCAGATCGTGAGAGGGAAGGCAGGAAGGGTTGCATCTGTGCTGAGTTCTCGTGGCCCTTCCTTACACGCCCAGGGAAATGCGGATCACCACTTAGGGGTCAGGAAGCAACTTTTCTCCAGGCCAGATTGGCTGGAGATCCTGTGCCCCTTTGGGAGTTCCCGTTGATGCACAGTCCTGACGAAGGGATCGAAAACTCACTGAATAATCTGGAGGATGAGTTGACGGCAACCTGTTTCTTATTGTCTGTCTCAAGTCCTAAGGACTGGATCTACTTGCTGATCGCAGCGTACTTTACATTGTTTGTCTTAAGTCTTAAGAAGTGGACGTACTTGCTTTATGGACATTTGAAGACCGTGTTTTTTTCAGTCCGTTGAAACTGGAATTTGTGAAGGTCTTTCTTTTGGGAGCGTTAAATAGCAAATGTTAGATATTGCTTCAGATCCCCAGCCTATCTATTGTATATTTTTTTCTTGTATTTCATGTATTGAATACTATTGTATATTTGAGGAATATTTGGAGCCTTATTTGATGTTAAGTCATACATGATTCTGTGAACTTCAGCCGATCGTGAGACGGAGGGCAGGGAGGGTTGCCTCACTGCTTAGTTCTCGTGGCCCTTTCTTACAGGCCCAGGGAAATGCCGATTGCCACTTTGGGGTCAGGAAGCAACTTTTCTCCAGGCCAGTTCGGCTGGAGATCCTGGAGGGTTTTTTTTGTCTTCTTCTGGGTGTGGAACAGAGGTCACTGGGGGCTTGTGGGGAGAGGTATCTGTGGATTTCCTGCATTGTGCAGGGGGTTGGACTAGATGACCCTGGAGGTCCCTTCCAGCTCTATGATTCTAGGATTCAGTGGCAGCTGGAAGGAAAAGTCAGGGGATTGGAGGCGGCATAAGGGTAGCCCTTAGCGGTGAATTCCGTGCCTCTCTTCCCCAGATTGCGGAATGCGTCAGCCGAAACGGCCACCCGATGCCCACCATCAGCTGGTACAAAGACGACCACCCTCTGCAAGCCCCGACAGAACGCAACACCGGTAAGGGAGCCGTTGAGGGAGGGGCCGTGGCTCAGTGGCAGAGCCTCTGCTTGGCACGCGAAAGGTCCCAAGTTCAATCCTCGGCACCTCCAGCTCAGAAAAAAGGGATCAGGTGGCAGGTGGTATGGGTTCCTTATCCTTGCTGTGGCCTGCTGTCATTCGGCAAGCGTAGACGTGTGCCTCGTCGCCCCTGGATATCTTGAAGAAGAGCGGCTCAGAAAAAAGGGACCAGGTGGTAGGTGATATGGGTTCCTTATCCTTGCTGCGGCCTGTTGTCATTCGGCAAGCGTGGACGTGTGCCTCGTCGCCCCTGGATATCTTGAAGAAGAGCAGTTTCTCTCAGAGCTCTCTCAGCCCCACCTACCTCACAGGGTGTCTGTTGTGGGGAGGGGAAGGGAAAGGAGTTTGTAAGCCGCTCTGAGACTCCTTTGGGTAGTGAAGGGCGAGGTATAAATCCAATCTCCTCCTCCTCCTCCTCTTCTTCCTTTTCTTCCTCTTCTTCTTCTTCCTCTTTTTCCTCTTCTTCTTCCTCTTCTTCTTCCTCTTTTTCCTCTTCTTCTTCCTCTTCTTCCTCTTCTTCCTCTTCTTCTTCTTCTTCTCCCACACACCCTGGCGAAATCTGAGGCTGCCCCTGCCGTCCCACGATTCAACATTCCGTCCCCCTACCTGCTTCGGGTTGTTGTGCGTTAAGAGGGCCAGTGTGGTGAGGCACACTTTGTCCCGGGTTTAGAAAGTGTGAGGGGGGGAAGGTGCTGTCCTTGGATATTTGAGCCACCAGGGTGGGTTGAGCCAAGGGACAGGCCAAGCAACAATGCCAACAGCTTTCTCACGATGCTACAGATTCTGCGACTGAGGCTCCCCCTGGGTTTCATGCTTCGGCCTACCTCAGTCTGATCGACACCCCTCCACCCCCCCGGCTTCAGACGCAGAGAGAGAAACTTCAGAGAGCTACTTCCAAATAATTCCTAGCGTTGTCTATTTTGGCCGAAGCGAATACCAAATTTTCGTCTTCCTGTTTGTCGGGGAAACAGCTCGACGGCTCCCCCAAAAACTAGAAGTCGAGAGCATCCAATGAAGCCGCCGGGCGGTAGATTCAGGATGGACACAAAGACGAGGGAGTAAAATGTGGAATTTGCTGCCAGAGGGGTGTAGCCATGGCTACGGGCATAGACGGCTCCGAAAGGAGATGGGGTACATTCATAGAGAAGAGGTCTATCAATGACTATCAGTCGTAATGACTACAGGGGACCTCCATGTTCAGAGGCAGTCAAGTTGTGAATCCCAGTGCCAGGGGGCAACATCGGGGGAAGGCCTCAGCCTCTGTGCCCTGGCGTTGGACCTCCAGAGGAACCGGTTAGCCAGGGGGTGAGACAGAGCGCTAGACTAGATAGGCCACTGGTCTGATCCAGCAGGGCTCTTCTGATGTTCTTATCGGGGGAAGACCTCAGCCTTTATGCCCTAGTGTTGGGCGTTCAGAGGAACTGGTTGGCCCCTGTGTGAGAGAGGATGCTGAACTATGGGGTCCACTATGATCCAGCAGGGCTTTTCTTGTGTTCTTATCAGAGGAAGGTCTTGGCCTCTCCTCTTCCACCTCCTCCTGCTCCTTCTTCTCCTTCTTCTCCTCCTCCTTCTCCTCTTTCTCATCCTTCTCCTCTTTCTCCTCCTCCTTCTCCTTTTCCTTCTCCTCCTCCTCCTCCTCTCCCTTCTCCTTCTCCTCCTCCTCCTCTCCCTTCTCCTTCTCCTCCTCCTTCTCCTTCTCCTCCTCCTTCTCCTTCTTCTCCTCCTCCTCCCTCCTTCTCCTCCTCCTCCTCCCCCTCCTTCTCCTCCTCCTTCTCCTCTTCCTCCTTCTCCTCCTCCTTCTCCTTCTCCTCCTCCTTCTCCTTCTCCTCTTTCTCCTCCTTCTCCTCTTTCTCCTCCTTCTTTTCCTCCTCCTCCTCCTTCTCCTCCTTCTTCTCCTCCTCCTCCTTCTCCTCGCCACCTGCACTTCTACCTATCACCGGTGCTTCTTCTCCCCAGACTTGTACGTGGTGTCACGGACAGTAAAGGAGGCTTCAGGGCTCCACTCGGTCTCCAGCACGCTCTACCTGCGCCCAAACAAGACCGACAAAGACTCCCGCTTCCACTGCCAGGTCACCTACTTAATGCCCGGCGGAGAAGAGCACACGATGAAGTCGGAGAGTTTCCAGCTCACGCTGCACTGTGAGTGCCCCTCCCCGTCCCCTTCACGCCCCTCTCTTGCGCGGAAAAGCGTCCGTGTGGGTGAGAGAGTGACCCTCCCTTCGTTCCCCCCCCCGACTCCTCACTCACAGACTACACCGAGAACGTGCATTTTAGTTTGGACTCTCCTGAGGTTATCAAGGAAGGGGACGACGTGCGGCTGCTTTGCCAAGGGGACGGGAACCCCCCGCCGGAGTACGTCTTCACCAAAATGAAGGTAACGCTCATTTGCTTCTTGCCCAGTCCGATCTTTCTTCGGGGAGGACGTTGGGTGCATTGAGTCGGTGCGCTTTCCCCGGTTTAATTTGGAAGAAGCGGTGACAGAAGCAGCGGTGGCGCCGTGTGCGTGCGCGTGAACCCAAGCCCCGGTCCATTGAGTGTTGACTGCAGGGGTCCCGTGGGGGTATGGGGCCAGTCACAAGTTCTCTCAGAGCTGTTCTTTCAAGGGCAGTTTCTGTCAGAGCTCTCTCAGCCCCACCTACCTCACAGGGTGTCTGTTGTGGGGAGGGGAAGGGAAAGGAGTTTGTAAGCCACTCTTGAGACTCCAAGTGAAGGGCAGGGTATAAATCCAATCTCTTCTTCTTCTTCCCGGGCCAATCCAGGCTCACGACCGATTTGATGATCTGGGGTCCAGCCCTAACGGACTCCTAGTCCTTCAGCACGTGACCAAGGAGGACAGCGGAACGTACCGGTGCCAAGTACTCGATTTCGACAGCCCCCCCGAGGTGGAGCTGGAGAAGGAGGTGACCATTAGTGTCAACTGTGAGTTTCCCGGGGACCTCTGGGAGGAAAAGCAGATGTGGCCTTCCCCGAAGCGAGAAAGCTAGGGGTTCGGCCCCAGTATCGCCAGTCGATCTCTTTTCTTTCTCTTCCCTCTCTTCCCCACACTCCAGATCTAGATTTGCTGGTCCTGAAGCCTAACAAGACGGTGAAAGTCCCCCTGGGGGAAAACATTGAACTTGACTGCAGCGGTAGCGGTTCCCAGACGCCCACGCTTTCGTGGAGGAAGGTGAGTGTGGGCTCCATATTGGGTATTGTAAATAAGAAGCGGGAGACTGACCAGTTATGAAGGTGCACAGAGAGTTTATATAGTTATAAAGGTGAATATATACAGAGATATTTACAGGCTATTGAACAGCATGTCGTGCCTTAGTCTATGAGAACTGAGTCCCCTCCAGCTTACCAAGCTGATAGCTATTATGCTAAACCCCAGCCAATCTCTAACAAGGTGATGTAATCACTAACTCTAACAAGATCAGAAAGAGTAATACCTGCTAGAAAACGCCTGGATGTAATTACACGATTACTAGCATAACAGCTAGGTCTGTCAAACAGATCAAACTGATCTATAGTAACTGCTTGCTACCTCTGTCATTCTGACATATATCTCAATACTCCACCGGCGTGGGAGACATGGCCGCTTTCCGTGTCCAACGCACTTGGCTTTGCAGAAAGGAAATTTTATGTCCTTTGTCGTTCTCGGCAGCCGGCAGTGCTTAGACCAGGGCTCCCCCAACTTTTGGGGTTCTGACACAGGGCGGTGGGCTCAGTCACAAAATGGCCACTGGAGGAGGTGGAGCCAACCACAGACTTGGAAGGCAGCTCTGATTGCAGCTCTTCAACGTTTCAGGCAGAAGCTGTGTCAGCTGAGCATATTTGAAAGCATTGTCTTGCTTACACACGGCTTACCTTCAGTCACATTTTTTTACAAATCTCCACAGCCAATCAAATCTCCTAGGGCCAGTCATAAGCAATGCTCCCTCTAAGCTGTGGAGTCTTGTGAGCAAAAATTCTACTTTGTGAGCTCCTGGCATTAAAGTTGTGAGCGAGCAGTTTGGCTGCTGCATAAATTAATTTGCTCTGGAGCCCTCCTTCCTGAGCTAAGATAAAAATGTGTGAGCCGGAGGCTAAAAACCTGTGAGCTACCTCACACTAACTCAGCTTAGAGGGAACACTGGTCATAAGCCTGGGCAAAATCTCCATCTTGCCTCACCCACTTTGTGAAAACACGTGGTGGGCACCGGGAAATGTGTCAGTGGGTTCCGTGGCACTCACTGCTGCTATGTTGGGGACCCCTGGCTTAGATGAGCATTCAGTGTTCCATTGAGTTTGAAGTGACTTACTTCCTAGTAAGAGTGCACCCTTTACGCCTCTTGACTTGGAGAGCCAGCACGGTTAAGAGCGGTGGACTCTAATCTGGGAGTAGAGGAAAGCGGGTCATAAAAACCTACTCTTCTTCTATTCTTTTCCCTGCAGCCACAAGGGAAATCTGGTAAAGTCTAGACCCGACACCAAGAAAAGTCAGATAGAAACACGGACTTTTCTACTGAGCCAGACTGTTGGCTCGGTGGTTTCCTTAGATTTGCAACTGCTCTTGCAGAGTCTTGTGCTGGAGAGCTGGTTTAGTGTGGTAGTTAGGAGCACAGACTCTAATTTGGGAGAACCGGGTTTGATTCCCCCAGGGGTCATTTCGTAAAAAAAGAGGTGCAGGAGCTCATTAGCATAACTCATTAGCATAACTTATTTGCATATGCCACACCCCCTGACATCAC